CGAAATGATCATCACTCTATCTCAGTACCGCAGCGATCACATGATCAAATCGCCGTTTTACAAAATCGCCGTTCACACTCTGCCTGATATTGAAGCTGCAATTGAAGCAAACAAGTTTTGTGATAATATTTGGTACTTGAGCTTAAAAGCACATATTGGTCTTGAAAATAAGGAAAAAGCTGAAAATGATGTTAGACATATAGATAGTAATAAGCAATATGCTGCATTTGATATAATTAGTGAATTTGTAAACAAACTTGGACATTTTGACGTGGAATGGTTCAAAATTCTTGTGGATAGCTGTTTTTATAAAGCAGCATTTGAACTAAATAATGTTGATCAATGGTTATCACTGCGTAAATATCAGTCTGGAACATACGATTACATTAGATGGCACATCAATGCAGTAAATTGGTATAAAATGTATAACAATGCTCCAAATAATTATAAGCGTACAACGGCTTTTTTTGAAAAAGTTTACTATATGCATAAAAGTAAGTGTTGCATTTGATTGCATTATTATTTTTAACGTTTACCAGATTATTTCTATTTATTAGATCATCTGAAAGCGCATTTTATATTTGAAAGTAGTATTGAAGACACCGAGAATGTCTCTGTTATGTACGTAACTTTTTTAACAAATACGGCAATTTAGCCTATTCTTATAATAATAATATTATTGTTACTAAACTTTAGTAATGAGAGATATTTATATCTTAATGGACCTAACAAAGTAAGTGCTTAATTATCAACACGCAAGTAATATATTAATTACTGACAATTATATGAATGTTAGTTAACAATACCAATATTCCGAGTACCTCCAAATAAATACAAACTCAGTATTATGTTGTACGATGGGGAGACGTCGACAATTACAATTCTAGTAAGTATAGGATAAGAATAATTGTTGTATTGCTCTGTTTAATTGTTATATAAATATTTATTTGTAGATAAAAACATCAACCGAGGAAACCCAATATAGTACGGATACTAAAAAATCCCACCGTATTGAATATATCTTGCCATGCACGATTAACGTTTTGTCCGAAGATGACATCATTATAGACTTTATTAGTAATGTACGTCTTAGTATGGCTTACTTTTTACCTTAATTCGCATTATTCTAATTTGAACTCTATTTTTAGTCATCCATAATGATAAACCTTTATTGGGTTTGTTTATATTCGGAAGAAGGGTTGCTAACGATGGAAAGTAATTTTAAAATTAAAACACTTTCAAATGGTGTAAAAATGATTGATTCCAAGCAGTTTTATGATCGCAGTATTTATTCCATAATGGCACCTTAGCGTGCCAACGCTACTTCCTGTCGCGAACGAACTTACAGCAAGTACGTGCGTGATAATTACGTCGTTAGAACGCATGATGTTTTCGAGTTTGCGAGTATAATTTACAGTGTCAATTTTTGACTTTATATCGATACTTCTACTTTCTTGTGCTACCTTATTCATGTATCTAGTACCCGTAGGTTCGAAGAAAAACAATTAATAAACTTACGATCAGAAAGTGTTCACTATGGTATTCTTAATAGCACGATTGTACAACTCCATACTCAATGCATTATTAAACCATGGCCCTAATTATAAAGGGTTGCAAGCAAAAAGCATTAATTTCAATTTATGAATTAAAATTATTTTAATATTAAGTAATAGATTTTCCAACTTTATATTATTAGTTATCACATGACTAACTGACATTTTAACGCCACATACCAGTCAACGCGGCGATAATATCATAATGAGTAGTAGCATTTTTGGATATGGACGATCTATGATACTAGTGTCATCATACAAATTAATTTTAAGAACACGATCGGTGATATCAATATCTTTTCTTTTATTTTTACTACAGGGTTTCAATTACTCATCAACTGTTACTATCCCCAACGCATAGCATTCAATATTCCCCAGTACTACCGCAGCAAAATCACTTGCCAAAAGCTCAGGAGCAACAGAACCGATAACAAAGGAACGTACTGGAAAGCCTACCGAAAACAGCGGGCTAACAACACCAGACTACCCTAAACCATCCCCATCAATCCATCAAAACTTACCATTGTCGAAGAAATTATCTAAAAAACAGCGAAAAGAACTTGAAAAACGGCACACACGTAATCAACTTGTTGAAACCTTGTTCAATGAATTCTACATTGCTCAGTACGATACCCGATGGCCGTCTCTACTTGATGCGTTGCGTAATCCACATCGATATTGTGCAATGACGAACAAATACGCCTGCCAGGAATCAATCGAATCTTACCTCCCATCTGATGCACAACAAGTAACATTCCTTGACATTCCATGTTATGTCAGTAATGACAAGTTTACTCCTCCAACTGTAGACAGAGCTGGGATAACGATGGTATATCACCTAGATGCATCTTCCGTTCTTGCTACGAAAGCACTTGACGTCCAACCGGATGATAATATTCTCGACATGTGTGCGGGGCCTGGAGGAAAGACATTGTCGATTTTGCAACGACTGTCTCATTCAGGATATCTCACCTCCAACGAACCATCCGTGTCCCGAAGGGTACGTCTGCAACGTGTTATAAACAACTACATCCCTCCTTCGGTGCGACATCGTGTGTCCGTCATATCGAATGCATCAACGTATCCTCCTCTCTTTGATAAGGTTATTGCTGACGTCCCATGTTCAAATGAGCGACATTTGCTACGAAATGAAATTGAATTCGTGCGGTGGAATGATCGTCATAGTAAGAAGTTATTGCCAACACAGTATACCATTTTGTGGGATTCTATTAAAATGGTTAAAATAGGAGGGATTGTGGTTTATTCAACCTGCTCGATTAACAAGTGTGAAAATGATGGCGTGATTGAGAAGTTTTTGGACAAATCCAGAATGGATATTGAAATTGTTAAGAGAGAATACGAGGTGGGAGAGAGCACAGATTATGGATGGATCGTGTTACCAGATAGAAGCGCTGGATGGGGACCGCTGTACTTTTGTGTGTTAAAAAGAATGAAATAAATTCATCGGACAAAGTGATTTAGTTGATGCATTTCAGAGGACAAGCACACGAATAGTGTAAAGCGCGCCTTTGAAAATGTTTCAGATATTATAACTATTGTCACTCTAACAAAAATAAATCTCTGCAACTCTTGGTATTTGCCTTCGATCTCCAATTATTAATAAACTCATCATGTATTAATAAGCATGTTCCCTATGCAAATGATTCGCATATTAAATGAGTCTGCTTACAACTTAGTGAGTTTCATTTAGATCCTTTTTCTTACTTACAATCGGATCCCTCCTCCTTTCGTAACCAGTCGCTCATCGTAACTTCGATATTCACCTTCGAATTGATGAGGGGATGATGCGCCTTCAATTTCTTGAGCGTAATGTTGTTGTATCCCATTCACGTTCTATCGGTTAGTATTGGCTGGGTTGTTTGATCGCTGCACACCACTTCTGTTGCTTTTCTCAAATGCAGCTCGACCCTTCATGGTAAATGTTATTCATAGTCGCTTCCATCGCCTGAAACGGATCAAATTAGCAGATTGTTCCAAAATCACTTTCTAGGTTTCATTCGTCATGCTAGTGGATTGGTTCTTCTGATATTTAGGTACTCCATTGAATTTCTTATTCCATGGTTATTTGACTAATTCCCAATTCTTGGTCATAATTTAGCCCGGAATGCCGAATTTGGTAGTATAATTATGATGTAGAATTGCGTCGTCATAGTACAAGTTATATACCCTCGAAAATTCTTGTGCTACGTGGGATTATTAATAATAGTTACAAAAATTGGCACTCGTACTATCGTCACATATTATATTTTCACCATTTTCCCCATTTTCACCAAGGCCCTACCTTACTTACATACGATTACTATGATGCCAGCATCAATATTCCGTGCTATGACTTCAAGAGGTCTGAAAACTGTTGCTACTCAAGCGCCATCTAGGTTCAAAGCCCGCAAGGCTGCCATGACACTGGTGGGTGTTGCTGGAACGCTTGGGTGAGTTCAAGCTAGAAAGGTTTTGCTGAGCAGAGTCGTTTATGCTAAGCAGTATGTTTATCTCTATTGTCTATGAGACGAGTAGACTCCCGCAGCCGTAGATCGGTTACGTCGTTTGATTGATGGACCGAATCCCAAGTTGATTCGTGTGGCTGTGAAAAATAAAGGATGTGCTGGATTATCGTATGACTTGGAATATACGAAAGAAAAAGGGAAATTTGATGAAGTCGTTACTCAGGATGGTGAGTCATATGTAATGTGTTGAAAATAAAGGCTTTCGTCAATCATTAACAGGGCAATACCTTCCGTTTGACATGCTCTCTTCTTATAGGAGTGACGCTTTTAATCGATTCAAAATCTCTTTTCAAGATGATTGGGTCTGAGATGGATTATGTTGAAGACAAGCTATCCTCTAAATTTGTCTTTAACAATCCGAACGTCAAAGAAGCTTGCGGATGCGGTGAAAGCTTTTCGATATAATCATAATTTAGAATTTCAATGACATACTAGAAGGCAGATGAGATATTTATTATACTGCATGGATCGGTAATAAAGTTCACATATTGCATGAATTGTCCACTCTCCCACCTCTACGTTCCAAATCATATAACTGGATCTTAGCACCGGATGCATCTCGGAAGTATGTCACTTTGTGCTTCAAATCCTTTCCTAGTATCTCTTCCGTTCTATCAACAAACTAAAAAGGAATACGCGAAGATGACAGATCAACCAACGAGTTGCCTACCGACGATTTGGATCTACGAAAAACAATTGTTACAGAATTGACGATATTTATCCAGCCAACTTATATATGCCGAAGAGTAATAAAGAGCTATTAAGCTCACAAGAGTGAGTAGCTCAGTTAATTAATGGGAGGTTATAACCTTTCCGATGTTTCTGGGAGGATAGAATTAGGTCAAGAAGATATATCGATTATGTTGTACTTCATATTATACGTGCCTCTAGCTTGTGTACCATGTCCCAAACGCAAGAAGCTGGCGTATAGATGGCTGTTGATGTTTGTATCGAGTTTGTAAAATGCGGTTTGTATGCTTTACAGAACAGGGGAACCATTTAAAGTTTCGAGAGCTAAATGGTAACCTTTGGCCTTTAACATTAAACGGGTATTGAGTTTCTGACCTAATCTTATCTGACAATAAAACAAAAGTTCTATTAAACCCAAGAAGCTGGGTTCGATATTAATGGTATATATGCAGTATTGTGTAGTGTTGTTCAATAAGATGACTAACCATTAATATTGATCTAATGTTCGAGAATATTGTAATTTCCCTTTTTGGATGTGTACCAGACCTGGTCATTAGAAGATTGACCAATGAGAACATATCAGATGGTTTTCTTCATTTTCATCCGCGTTTCGAAAGCCACATGCAATGTAGCACAATATATCGATATACTGCACCTTACAATTTAAGCTACAATGGTTAAACCTTTATGACCAACTTTGTTCAACAACTGCAGTAAATATAAAATGGGCCGACTTATTTGCGCCGTTTCTTTCGTTTAGTCTACAATGCTACAATTACCTTTGCGATCACGCTCTACTTCAACACAGCTTTTTCGTTATCTGCGTATATCTGTCTTGTTGATGATAGTAGTTCTCGCAGGTTTATATTCTTATGTCGTAACTTCAGCATTTATTAAAGATAAATACAGACAACGTTTCTTCGAGACACAGTACATAGATCCTCACAGGGATTCCAGCATATTTGCCGCCAACAACACCAAGCGATTAAATGCTGTGATTGTTATACTGGTCAGGAATAATGAGCTAGATTCATTGTTAAATACCATCGAGCAGTTTGAACAGCGTTGGAACAAGAAATACAATTACCCATATATTTATTTAAATAATGAACCCTTCAGTTCAGAATTTATAGAAAAGACCACCGCCATAACAAAAGCTAAAACATCTCATGGTAGGATTATCTGGCCTACGATTTGCACATATAAGCTTGCCTTGAACCAAACTTCAAAAAATCGTTAGTTAAAACTCGGGTGAAAAGCCGATTTGTCTATAAAAGTTGATAGCCACATCCCGTGCAACAATAAAGTAACATTTGTTATGTAACCTCAGCTGAACTGCTGTAAGCGTCCTATGCGAGGGTCATGAATATATCAGTGCTTAGCCTGCCTGCCAACACTTGTTCCTAACAGGAAAACCGTAAATTTTATCATAGCTCCCCACAACAGGTATCTTGACTATGCAGGATCGGTTGAGGTTACATAAGAAATGGTATAGCTTGCTTTCTATGTTGGAACAATTACCATTAGATCTCTTATATCAAGGCATAGAAACCATGTTATCGGGAAAACTTGGTTTGTTTCTTTAACGCTTTCCCCATTATCGTAACAGTATTTTTGAGATTTGGTTCGAGGAATTGGTTCGAGTTGTAGATGCTCGACCAAAAGCTGATATACTTTGCGGCTTGTAAATGCGAGTTTGTTACCTGTACTCATACTTCTCCAATTTATGTAAATCAGCTCTGATTCCCCCAGAGATGTGGGGTTACCCGTCATGGATCGATCAGACGAAAGCGGCTCAGGCTCGGGTGCAAATGTCAAATGATGGTGGTGTTCCATACGGAGGATTAGAGTCGTATTATCACATGTGTCGTTTTAATTCTGGGTTTTTCTTTCGCCACCCCCTCCTGCAAGAGTACGACTATTACTGGCGCGTTGAGCCTCACGTTGAATTCTATTGTGATATTGACTATGATCCATTCGCCTTCATACAAAAGCATAACATTTCATATGGATTCACAATATCCCTAAAAGAGCGACCGAAAACTATTCCGACTTTGTGGCAACATGTCAGGCAGTTTGTCGAGGATAATCCGCAATATCTTCCGACTCACAATTCCGCAACGTTTATATCAGACAACGATTTGACAAGCTATAATTTGTACTTATACAATTTGTTGATTGTATTAATTATTTTACAACTACATTATAACAACAGTATCATTCTTTGTTGAAAAAAAATAATTAGATGTCATTTTTGGAGCAATTTTGAAATTGGAGATCTACGGTTTTATAGGAGCGAAGCATACTTAAAGTTCTTTGAGTATTTGGATAGGGCCGGAGGGTTCTTTTACGAACGGTGAGTTCCCATCGTTTGAAAGCAACGAGGAATATATATTTTTTTACTAATTTTGTCAACTCGGAATTTTCAGATGGGGAGACGCGCCAATCCATTCTATCGCGGCATCTCTTTTTCTAAATCAATCCGAGTTGCATTTCTTTAATGACATCGGTTATAGACATGGGCATATAGAGCACTGCCCACCTGAACGAGAAGTTTACGAAGCTGGCAACTGTCGATGTAATCCTAAAAGCAATTTTGGTAATATAGATTTACTAACACATGAATTATAGACAAAAAATGATTTGCAGTTGAAACTAATACCCTTTTCTTTGAAGATGCCCATCCCGATTCCTGTCTGACGCGGTATTTCTCGTTGCATGCATAATGGAAGTCTAACAAGATTTGTTGCATCTGTATTACAGCACACGTATAAGTAGACGTAGGTGTATCGATATAAAATAAGAGACTTAGCACTTTGATTGAAATTTTTAGATTATAGCGTGCGTTCAATTGTCTGGTCTTTCCAAACGCGAAGAACCGTTTGTTCGATTTATGTAATCAGGAAAGTTTTAGACGCAACAAATCATATTTACAAGAACACTGCAAGCGAAAGGAATTTGTTGCGACACAATTACAATCAACCTACATTAGAATTCTACTATATAGTAATAATAGCAAAGCAATTAGACATTATAAAGAAACAGCCTATGCTGGTTAAAAGTTAAAAGTTGCACTAACAAGTTAATGTATCATAAAAGCTAATTCAGTGGCCTCCCATTTCCTACACTTCAATGACTTCGGAAATGTCTTAGTAATCACAACTAACCCGCCCAAGAATTGTGTCGAATCGGGGAATACAACCGTGAAATATATGGATATTAATATAGTTATATACTTGGTTAAAGATATAAGCTAGAGCTTGAAGAAAGCATTACCCGGTAAATGATGGTTTTGATTCCCAGATATTCAAAAGAATGCCATATTAATATTAGGAATCTTACTAGTTGACGAATTTACCCGTAATATTGGAATTGGTTCTAGAACTCCATCCCGGTCAACCAATGGATCTGGATGAAAATGAAGAAACAGAGCATCAGCATGAGCCAGCTGAAGACCGAGTTGAAGAATTCTGCCAATAAAAACGGGTTAATGAAGATACTGATAAATCGACTGAAAAATCTTCCTGTAAGAAAGCTAAGAAAGTGATTAAGGAAGAGGATTCTATCGTATTAAAAAGACTTATCCGGAAGTTATCTTCTGACACCACTCGAATTTCTGAAATTCAGGAAAAGAAAGGACTCCATAGAGAATCAGTACGAGAAGTTGAGGATTCCCGATTTTTTTTTTATCTGTATTTATTTTTGCGTGTTTCCTCACACTATTATTTGTATTAATAAACAATCCTGTTAATGTACTTAAAGTACAAAAAAAATTTTATACTATGTTTGGAAATAAGAACGGACAATCTACTTTAGCATTAAATGCAGGAGTAATTTATTAACTTGTATTTATGAAAAGAGTAAACCGCTATACGAAGTCGTAATCTCAGAGTCTTATGTGATCACAATTGTTTAACTTGTTCAGATGCTAGCTTCTAAAACAATTCGCTGGATCTGGTACAAGTCGATAACAAAATTATTACCAACTATGGTTGCTGGGACTACTGGAGCATATGCAAGTGGGATAGGAAACAACGGCGGATCCCAAAATACTTCACTTATAGGAATTGTGATCTGAAAAGCCGGCAAGTTTGGCGCATTGCAATCAGCAGGATTATTGACAGGATCTCTTGAATATTTTTTAGCATTCCCAAAATCCCATCGTTGTGTGTCCATTCCTTGATGGTAAAGTTTTGCCTGAAATTTAAAAAAAGACTAATCAGATGAAATAGGCAATACTTGATTTAGTATTAGATCATTGAATAATAATATATACCGTCATTGTTTTATAAAAATACCCAGTTACAGGTTCTCGAATCATTGGTCTTTCTTCTAAAATTTTGATACTAATGACAGCACGAACATATTTTTCTTTCATCCATCTCAACATCTTTGTCCCAGACGACCAACATCTTGGCTGATAGCTATCTCACACACTATCCGTGCATGAGGATTTCCCTTCATAAACCATAATAATGAAAATCACATATAAAACAAAATACAATAATACACATCAAACTCAACATACACATAAATCACTGGGAGGAACAGGTATCACAGGGGAAGCGGAAGGTCTTAGAACAAAGGCTATATTTGGGTATACAGCAACATCAGGAACTATTTTAAGCCCTGTTCCACCAGGCTCATAGTGAACTATATGAAAAAATTATAAGAATATTGAAATTCAATAACAAGAAGCAAACTAGATTCTCTTACGAGGTTGTCCATAGACTCTTATGGGAGGATTGACAACAACTCCATTATTAGGAATCTTAAAATAATCTTGGAGCAGGGAGACAACAGCCTCATGTATGGTTGAGGCCATACCAATTATAAACACATCGCTAGTTTTCTTGTCGAACCAGAATTTGTATCCAGCTGACCCGTGGTTCTCAAGGAAAGTGTTATAATTTTTTATCGTGATTTTCGAGCCAATTTTCAAAGGTAAACTGCATTCCATACAAAATCAATATTAGTGGTGCTCAAGTAATAAAATAATACACACATATACCCACCTGCTCTCTTCTACCGGGTTTGTTGGTAATTTTGGATACTTGTGTACAAGTTCGTCAAATCTATCTAAATTCCTTGCCCACCAAATATCGCTTGAATAACGTGCGTGAGACATATTCAAGAGTAAATAAAAGAAAATTGTGGAATATAATGATCAATTGATTAATTGTCTGATCGATATGATAACACCCAGAGATGTACATGGACAATGTTCGTCTTATACTGGTAGACAATGTCCTGTGGCTTGTGTCCGGTCATGTGTCACATGGAAAATTGTCAGCAGACTTGTCCAACATTATAGGGTCCGTGGACTTGTTCTCTTCATATTCATTCCAATGCTATAAACGTCAGCTGCTCGAGTGTATGGCATTTGCCATTGTAAAACTTCTGGTGCTATATAGGGAAGCACACCCTGAATTGTCTCTTCATTTCCTGTCACAGAGCCCTTATTCCAGCAAAGACCGAGATCACTTATCATTGTCCAGGTACCAGATCGCAGAATGTTTCCAGGATGCAAGTCTTTCTTCAAGGTTGGCAGCAGCGAAAGAGGAGAGTATTGATCTGTCAGTTATTATTAGTGCATAAAAAATTCTATTTAATAATTATCATAGAACTCGCTATTACATGCAACAGTCCCGCTTTATGAATGGTCACTAAGCCGCTTGCAATATCTCTGAGTGTGATGATTTTTTTCTGTAAAGTAAAGCTATCAAAGTTCTTGGAGATATACTGCCGGAGATCTCCATCCTCAGCATATGAGGTGACGACAATAAACTCATTAGTGGATGGGCAGCGCGAGATGCCATAACAACGTACGACGTGCGAAACCAACATACTGAATTGGTGATATGCGCCCAACTAATCGGACAAAACAATGAGCATATGTTAGTTAGCAAAACCACCAGCAAAGCAGATAAACAATATTCAACTTTACTTATTAACATGCCTCTTTCAGAAAGCCCATTGTCACTTTATTAGAATTTCTTATACGTTTCAATATAATTATGTCTGAATTTGCCTGACCCCAGCCTCGTTCCCATTTATCGCCGTTTGCGTCCCATGTCCGAATAGGTCCTCTAGGCCAATGTGCTATAAATCTAATTAAATAGTCTGAGATTAGCTCGATACAAGAGATACATGTAAACACAACTCAAAATATACCTACACTGAGCTGTTACCACCATTTGCAAGATGCTTCATGTTTGTGAATTCTTCATTGTCTATCCACTCCAGGATAGATCTGACATTGACTGCCTTAAGTTGAGCTATTTGAATAAAATCGTCAATTTCTTCGGAGTCACTCCAATTCGCAAAACTCTCCCGAAACAGTTCGCTGTTGCAATATTGACACCAATTGTATCCTGTTCTTGGACTTTTGCATTCACCACATTGACCGAATTGTCCCATTGGCTGTGAAATAGAGAGTTTGGTTGGATGATGTTGCAGTCTAGCAGTGTCTGTATCCAAGTTTCGCAGAGGATAGACAGTAGCTTTTGCTTGAGGTGTTCGAAGTGGCTGAGTTCTGGCCGGTCTGCCATTAGCATCATTTTTTGTTTCTTGAGGATAATTTCATTCAACAGTTCTTCTACCCCTCGAGCCAGTTGAGAGGGGCTGAATTGTGACCGGCCTGCCGTTAGCAGTAGTAATATTTGGGGGTGGGACCTGTATTGGAGAATAGTGGAAATCATTTTTTGTTTTTGTTTCTTGAGGATAATCCTCATTCAATGATTTTCCTGCTAGAAGTGGTAGAAGTGGTGTATACGAGGATGGCACATTGCTGATAGTTAAGGTCTTGGATAACCGCAAGTGACATTTTCTGTTTCTTGCAGATTATAATAGCTCTTATCCCGTCCAGCAGAAGCGACGTAATTCGGTGGGACTTGGGTTTGAGGATAATAAGCTGGAGATTCTTGTTGCGAAGTTGGTCCAATCATACTGGAAGGGCCACAATAGTAAACCGAAAATTCTCATCGCGAGGCTGGTGTACTCCTAGTGGAAGTGACATAATGAGGCAGAATTTGGGTTGGAATACCAGTTTGATAATTTACTGAATTGTAGCCTAGCATCGTCCATTGAAGAGTTGGGTTTAGTATCCAATATTGTATTAAATATTGTAAATAAGCCATTTTCATCTGTTATATTGTTGATGTAGAAGCATCAGGAAGAGTGGAATTAATCTCTTCAGGTTCGCTTTCTTTAATTTCTTCAGCCGCTGGCAGAGTGAATGATGGCCCATAGTCAGTTGGTGAGTAATAGCTTGAATTCGAACTAGTAGATTATGACACGGGTGAGTTGGATCTGACCGAGTGCATACCTACAGACATAATCGTTTTATCTATCATGCATTCTACAGAATGCAGCTATTATAAACATTCCTGCTAAAAAACAAAAGTGGTCAATACAACTCAAAAATCACAGACCACCTCTAAAATTTACTAGTGAAACGTAACAACTTACTTCTGAAAGCTCCCCACTGTCGTATTTATTAGTACATCATAATGAATTTGTTATCGTTTGAATGACTCATATGAAAATTCTTATTAGGTCATAATCCAATTGAAGGGACTGGCGGAGCTTTTCCTGATTGAAGTTTTTAAAGAGGAAAAATGAGCAGTTGCGGGATGCATGAGCTGGATAACAAGATTATCTATCTGAACTTGGATATTATTTATGTACGAAAAATTTAATTCTATTGTATAGGTATCGTATTAGGGTATCGCAATTCTAACCAAGAATACTTAACAATATAGGTCGATAATTTCATCAATATATGCTTCGGATGAGTCATCTTTTTTACTACTTTGCATGATCAATACCGCTTGAAGACGAGCAATCTTAAGACCAATTACCTTATACAGAGACACTCTCTATGTTCTACACGTGCAAGCGATTTTGAGTCCCCATAAGTGCACGCACGTGACATTTAAAAAAAGTCAGCCAATTAAACGCCACAAAGATGCAATAGTTTACTACACTCTTACAACTACTATCGCGAGGGCCTTTTATTCACAACAAGGTGCTCGCTAAAGCCCAGTTTGAGCTGTTTTTATCTATCTACAATACATGCAGAGGAAGAGAATAAAGCCATATATTTATGTTAGATTTGATAACAGAAAGAATGTTATTGGGTAAAACTGTATTATGAAATACATATAAGATACTTGCTAAAATAGTAAAAATTTTTAATCACATTTTCCAAATTAAGCGAAGATGATATAAATGCCACAATAATACAATAAATAATAGTTGTAAATAGTTGCTCGACATTCCTGAAGAGAATAATATTTATGAAGTTCCCGACAACGATCACGAACTTGTATATCTCTTTAAAGATACTGATCAAGCAATTACGGATGTAGACGACATAGATAATAGTGAAGAAAGTCGCACTAGCGCTGCTTGGAAATAGTATGTGCCTTTCTTTTACAACAGGGCAACGCGGGAAAATATATAACAACTTTACAAAATTTTGAGAAGTTTGCTGAAGTCAGGAAAACAAGCTCAATGCTGTCAAACTAACATTGACACAATTTTTCTCAAAGTGTATAATTTTGATAATAAGATAATAAAGAGAAAGTACTAGTCACTATTCTGTGTAACGGTTTTCTGGTTTTCTATTCGTTGTTCTATAAGTGCAGTGCACACAAATGTCAAGTCCCGAGAGCGTGCACTTATAGAGGTGTCTCTGTACCATGTATTCCGGAAATCTATTAATGCTTCACACTCTGATTCCAGATTATATCGAAATATATATTCTAAAATCGTAATTTGTGCTTTCATAATTAATTTTTTCGGTGCCCGGTAAGAGATATCACAAAAAAAGATGCATCGAAATAAACATGAAAGATCACGTCAAGTAATTCTATAGGTCGGGTGAAGTAATCTGCAGGAATATTATATATAAAATATGGCAGAACACTTCATCTCAAATGTGGTCAAAGTATGTACTTATGTTATTGGGGCAAGTAGAGTCTAGTAATCTGTAGATTTATTGGGAGGCATTTATTTCATCGACAATCATTTCATCGACAGTACACTTCACCGACAGTCATTTCACGTGACACATTGTTTATCGCACTTATCATTGGTTTTCGATGAAATTTATGTCGGTGAAATGATTGTCGATGAAATGAACCGGACCCAAAATCGGCATACTTTAATATAACGTGTCTTAAACATAGGCGAAGTCGATTTGGTAGCATTTCCCAACAACATTATGAAATATACATCGCAACTAGGACGTAACTAGGACGGATTTTCTATGGTTAACTATGGGCAAAGTAAATTGATAACATGACCCGATAACATTTTTTGATAGCATAGCCTGATAGCGTATACATGATAGCATTATCGATAGCATAACCAGATAACGGGTATATAGCATAATCAGATAGCGGATATATAGCATGGCCAGATAACGTGTCTTAGATAACATGTATATAACATACTCGATAGCATATTCTGGCTATTTGCTTTCACAAATGATGCACAAATCATGATCGGGGTCATCAAACTCGCAATAAGGCCAAGCCAGCAGTAGTCTATGATCAATATTAACCTCTGAAAATGAAGTGCAAAACATATTCGACCCATTAATTGAGTACTTTATCACATCTGTGGTTACTCGGATGACTTGAGATTCATGACCATAACATACGACGGTTCATAGCCTGGTACCCCACTCGAGCCGTAGACTATGAACTATACAAATTTCACATATTAATCTGACGACGTAATCGATCTCAATCGTTAACATAATATAGATCGTGTCATTAACATCAACTCGGTATATGAGGGTCGTTATAGTTAGTACGTGGTATGCTTGAAAAGTAATGACAATTTACGTCTATCTTAATGATCTGCAAACCTATCCAAATAAAGTTTTTATTTTCTACATTTGACAAACATCACACAAAAAACTTGATGCAAATTGCTTTGGTAATTCTTGAAAAATTCCCGTTCAAAGTTACCTACCAAAAACAAATGAAACATTCTACTCATGAAAACCAACGTTACTATATCTTTGTTGAATGGAAAATGGCAGCACTGCTGCTAAAATCCATCAAAAGTTGGTGGTTGCAGAAGGTGACCAAGCACTATCTTTGGGAACAATTTATCGCTGGATTGAAGCATTTGAACTTGGAAAACAAAGTGTTAAAGATGAGGCTCATTCTGGACATCCTCGTCTCATGAAGCTGTCACTCCAGTAACAATTGGAAAGGTTGAAGACCTTGTTAGTGATATAACTACACAAAAACTTTCAGAAGAAGTTGGAATATCTGATAAAAGAATCATTTACATTCTTCATAATGAGCTTGGTCTGAGAAAACTCTGTAAAAAATGGGTTCCACATGTACTGACAAATGAAAATAAGTGAAAACGAGTTGCAACTTTTGCAAGCCAACAAAGTTTGGCTTGGGCATGAGGAGAATAGGCCTCAAATTGCACAAACTGCACAAAACAGTAAAAAATGCATGTTTTGTATTTTTTTTTCTATTGAAGGCGTTGTAGCCAAAATTGTGATTCCAAAAGAAACCACTGTAACTGGCAACCTTTATGCTAACAAGATTTTACCAGAAGTTTTTTCAAAGTTTAGGGAAATGAGTGAGAGAAGTACTGTTCAAGATGTCATGCTTCATCATGACAATGCTGCACCACATACCTCAAAAGTTGTTACTAAGTACTTAAAGCAAGAAAGAGTCAATGTTCTTCCTCACCCACCCTACAGTCCAGACCTTGCACCCTGTGATTTTTTTCTATTTCCTAAACTCAAAAAAGAACTTAAAAATAAGAAGTATGACAAGGTTGAAAACCTTGCAAGGGGTGTTCAGGCAGTTGTTTCAAGTATCTCAAAAGATGAGTATTACAAATGTTTTGAGAGTTGAAAAAAAAGGCTGCAAAAGTGTATAGACAATAATGGTAACTACTTTGAAGAAATGAAATAGTTTATTTGGCTTTCATAACATAATTTTTAGGAATAAAGACAAATTGTTATTACTTTTCAAGCATACCATGGATACCTCTGGTCCTGTGAAAATGGCATGCATCAGTGGAAGTATTCATTAAAGCTTATTATTATTGTTGGTGTTCCCTGTTCCTATTCCAAGAAATTATCAAGAAGATTGGTACAGCAACAGTTGAGAATTTTAATATTGATGGGATAGAGATTTTTTTAACCATTATTAACTATTGGTTCTTTCATTATTGGTATCAGCACTGAACATTTCATGGGCAACTAATTAACTGTACATAGTCCCTTAGTCCTACTGGTTGGGAGGATATTCAGTCTTACTGCTTATACTTTTTATAAGCTGTTATTCAAGAAAAACAAAATTTAATAAGTGTGTGGGGACTAATGTTACCAAGTGAAGGAGGGCCTGTCAAACATGCATACTTACTATTACCATACAGTTATTTACTGTACATACTAATACAGCATGAGAAAGAGAAAGGCCTGTTAAACAATGTAATGTCACCTAGGTTGACATAGCATTAGGTTTGGATACCAGACTGGAACGTGGGACCGAACAAGACCCAGCCAGTAATGATGAATTTCGGCGTAATTTTGTGGTTTACGCTCTACGCTTTCTAGTCTCTGGTCTGCTGATCTGCGGCTCGTCTACCGCCACGTCTCCAGCGGTGGCACAAGGATTTTGAAAGTGACAACACATGTTACCGTTGCAATTATTATAGTGGCAATCAGCAACTATAAAAGTCGACCCTCAGGGTGTTCAGATACTTACGTATTATGATAATTATTATTACCAATAAACGAGTAGTTTTTATACTCTGAAATACATTATTAATGTCCTTGGTAAATTATTCGATATAGTCGTGAATAGTAAAATCTAGTTTGTACGAAACTAGCTAAATCCCAAGGTCAGCGATCGATTGCCCTCCCGCGATTGTTACTCTACAAATGCCTTGCTAATTTAATTTTATAAATAACAGAAATTCTTGATAAGCATGTCATAATCTTTAAAGGAAATTTTCACCTACAGAAACAAGTAATTCGAATGCAATGAGCAGACAACTAAAATTAATTCCTTGCTGGTTTTAAATTTCTTCTAATTTTTCTATTTTCGGAAACAAAGACAGACCAAGTTTAGAAGGTAGAAACTGAAAATAGGAGGGGTAAACCTTAGTCAACCTGATCGATTGACTTAAAAAGAATGGGGTAATTTCTGTGGTGCTATGCAGCACGCCCCAAATAATGAATTCGTGTAACAGTACCGGAATGGTGGAGGGTATATCTTTGGTGCCAAACTAACTCTTAAGCAGTCTTCTTATTCAAAGGCGAAAATACTCGTTTACATACATACAAATCTAACAAACCATGTCTACTGATTCGACTGAAGTTTTTGCTCAGCAAGCTGCACAAAGTACTTCCAACCCAATGTATGACCAAACGTTCCGTCGTAATGGACGACGTGGAAAAGGAGGCCATCGAGGAAGGAATCCTCAGCGTGCGAATGGCCGAGATAATAGAAAGTTCGAGAGCGAGCACATTACTAACTCTGCGAGGTTGGATCAATCTCCTGCTGAACCAGCTAACGAACCAAGTCTCAAATCCAAGGTTAATGCGACTGAAGACAGCGAAGGTGAAAACAAAGAGAATGCAAATGAATGCCATATTTGTGCTGAAAAAATTGTCTACTATGCTGTGGGAGGATGTAACCATAGAACCTGTCATATCTGTTCTGTGCGATTGAGGGCGTTATATAAGTCCTGGACTTGTACTTTCTGTAAGGTTAGCTTATAATTTTAGCTAGAGGGGATAATGGGAAAGTAACTAGTATAGTGCGAGTGAAGTTTTGCGGTTGCATTACCTGTGAAGAGGTCTGGATTTAGATGAATGATACTCGAATGTATTGCTTGCTTTAATTGTATGCAAGACAAGGGCTTACTGTGACATTTATCAAAGCGAGTGAATATTTTTCTCAAATTCTATGAACTAACTAATGGTTGTTTTTGTCAATTATAGGTAGAACAGCAAGCTGTAATCATCACCTGCGATCCGGAAAAGCTATATCAGGATTACAAATCCACAGATTTACCATATACCGATCAGAAACTGAAATTGTCTTTTGAAAGTAAGGAAATGTATGATGAAACCATGAAATTACTCAGATTCAACTGCCCTTCACCCAGCTGTGACGCTGAATGCTGCGACGGCTGGCCGGCATTAAAAAAGCACGTCAAGAAAGTGCACAATATGTTGTTGTGGTAAATATCCGTATTATGTGCATAAAATTTTATTGTGTAGTTCCGAGTTGTTATGTTCGTCTCTTGATATTTATTGACGCTTTTCTATACTGCAGCGATATATGTATTAGCAACAAAAAGGTCTTTGCTCATGAACACGCACTCTATACTGCTCGCCAGCTTGAGAGACATTATAAAGTTGGCGACCAAAATGTAGAATCTGGGTTTAAAGGGCATCCCAAATGCGAGTTCTGTGACATAGTATTTTACGATAACGATCAATTATATGTACACTGCAGAGATCGTCATGAAGAATGTTATTTATGCGCGAGGAATGGAATCAGACATGCGTATTATGAGAACTATGATTTGCTAGTACGTATGAACAGATGAAGAATCTTGAAGCCAATAATTAGATATGCTTACTAGAGATTTCTATATATAGGAAATACATTTCGAGAAAAAACACTACTTATGCATGGACGAAGGATGCAGGGCTCGGAAATTTGTTGTGTTTGCAACAGATATTGATTTAAAAGCACACGAAGTATGATCAAGTATGATTCGCATTGTTAATGTATCACCTAATGAACACAATAACAAATATCATAATATTACATATTATCAGATAGACGTACATGGATCGAGCATTAACGGGCAAAAAGCTAAATACGAAGCACGACGAATAAGAGTAAATTTCATATATGATGAGCAACATGCTCGGGCGAGGGGTCGACATAGGGATCGAGAAAGGCAACAGGTAGGCACTGTTTGTGTGATATATTTTTATACAAAAACCGGCGTTAACTGATTTCTACTTTCCAGGCTCATCAGGAAGATGGGGGGGGAGGAGGAGGGGGAGGAGGAGGAGGAATAATCCAGTTAGATGGCCCCTCCAGACCCAGAAACCTAGAAATCAACCACACTAGAGCAGGAAACGCGCTGAGAAGCATCACCCCGGATGGTACAAGCAACTCAATAGACGAACTTTCACCGCCTTCATCTACACTTCCTGCTCGCCCCAATCAAGTACGGGAAGAAGAATTCCCTACTCTCAGCTCGGTTGTCCGGCCATCCGGCGCTGGAAGCACAAACGCGAATACTAATTCTGGTGCGAAAGCACAGACTACCAGCAAGATGAATGCTGTTGGTAAAGGCAAGCGGAGTGGTGATAATGGACGGGGTGGGGTTAATGGGCAAGACAGAAGTAATGGACAAGGTGGAAGCAATGAGCAGAGGGCACCATTGCCCAGCAGTACAGGATCGTCATCGAGAGCCTCAACAGCAACTTCAAACTCTACATCCGCGAAAAAGAAAGGGAAAGGGAAAGCACCAGTTCAACCGGTAGAAGAATTCCCATCTCTTCCATCGATTCCGAAACAAAAGTCTCCAGGTTCGAAAAAAAATGATGCTAAAGGTGCCTGGGGACGTGGTGGGACGTTTGCAAATATAAATAGTCCCAGCAGTAGTGAGCCGGCCGAGAGCAGTAGCAAAAAGAAACCGAATAAGAAGGTTATATTACGTATTGGTTAAGTATGGTATTATTAACTTAATCTTATAATTAATGCTTTTGCAGTTATTTATTGGTTGTAATTTTTGCTATCAGATGAATTGTAATATTATATGAGAATTATAATAGAACAAGTAGAAATAAAAATATGTGTACTATGAAACTCCAACACATACGGTTCGCTTAGAAATGCACTAGTATTTATTTCTAACAAACCAAAGGCTTAATGTTTAAAATAATAAACAATAATGTGTGAATTCCCAAAATCACAATATACAAGTTCCCAACTGATGCTTAATTTGACCAATTTTGGTTAGGAATTAAACATCGATCGACCCTGTTCTAATATCAGGCTAACTCAATAAGACGATAGCAATGGGAAACTCCCAAACCAAACTATGCTATAATTGGATGGAAAGTTTCTGAACAGCATTCAATCAATAAATGGCAACTAATAAACAGTTGTTATTTACATTGACATGACAAAATCTCACGTAAAGCAATACAATCAAAAAGTTGGCTAATACAAGCCTAATCAATGTTCATGATCGGACTGAGATAACTCTGTAATGTCTGTAATAAGTAATGAAACAAGTTTTGCATTACCAAAGTATTCTCTTAGTCGCTTTTATTTGTCATTACTATTGGTTTTTAATGAACCCCGTTTTGGCATCATGAGAAAAGCAAAACAAGATTATCACTATCTTCATTTCACCAACCAAATGGAAGGTTTGTTGTGCAATATTCACAGGAACAAGGTGAAATTTTTTTTTTAAAGCACAAGACCAGTAGTAATGCACAAACTTACAGTTACTGGGAATTTTAGCGAGCTTTCTAAACCTATAAAGTGTTGAATTAATCAAACACAATAACGCACCCGATTCTTGCAACAACGTTTGAAAATGTCAGCAGATCCCTGCTGTAGACATGGCTATGCACTTCCAGCAGAAAACCCTCGCCTCATTCGCGACATTGCTATTTCGAGGCTGAGTAACTTTACGAGCAATGGAAAGTTCAGCGATGTAAACTTATCTTCGCAATTGTATAAGCACAAATCAAAGAAAGGGTATCTCGTAAAGTTACAAGTCTATTCGGTACCCAACTTGAAGAGAATCCCATTCAAAGAGGCTATTAAAGGTGACTTTAGGCCTACCAAAGTGGGAGAGACCTTTGGACCCAGTTGGGTGAGTAGTCAATTTCAAGGGTAGTGTGATATAGTTAATAATTGAACGGCATTGCCAACGGCAATTCCAAGTGATAAACATGTCTTCCACAAGTAACGCTACATTACATTACGAATTAACACGCTATAGTCAACGCATTGGTTTCATATTAATGTTCACGTGCCAGTCGACTGGGTCGATGAAGAGGTGCAATTTCTGTGGGATGCAGATTCTGAAGCATTGGTATGGAGTGTGGACGGTGTTCCTCTTCAAGGGCTGACCGGTGGAGGTGGGTACGGATGCCGCAATTGCAAACAATTCAAGAGTTTGGATTTCAGACCTCCGTTAACTTAGCTCCTATCCATAATATTACTTTTGACAACTAAAAGACGGGAATGATCGACGACATGAATACATTCTTACGCGTTCATCCAAAGGCGGAGATATTTTCGAGTTTTACATTGAGATGGCCTGTAACGGGATGTTTGGTACCGGTAAAGGCGACTCGATCAATCCACCCGATCCAAATAGAACATATACACTACGTAAAGCCAAACTTGCCGTGCCAAATAAGCTCGCGTGGAAATTGTTATATGACTTTCAGATAATCAAAGATACTGCTCAGAATCTGCGGAGTGATGAAGTTAGATCCGTGCAGGCTTTATATACCGCAAATGCGATTGTAGATATTTTTAGAGCCGGTAGAAACGGAAGTTTGATCGAGGGACACAGACTCGCTCGGGAATTTTTTGAGCATAAAAATGGAGGAGCGCAACATCGGTTGACTGCTGTTGGGCATTGTCATATCGATACCGCGTGGCTCTGGTATGTGATGCGTGCGTAACAGAGGATTAAAACTGTATAGTACTTAAGCTTGTTTCTGTAACCAAATAAATTGATCATGAATACTAAAACGCACAAAACGATTAGGACGTTCGACGAGACAAAGCGTAAAGTTGCTCGTAGTTGGTCAACACAGATAGGTCTCATGGAATTATACCCGGAGTACAAATTTGTATGCTCGCAAGCACAACAATTCGAATGGCTCAAGCAAGATTATCCGAAACTCTTCGAAAAAGTTCAGGAGAAAGCAGCCACTAACCAATTCTTACCTATTGGTGGGGTGAGTTTGAGAGTGATTTAGTACGTACGAATACGCGATATTATTATTGAATATATATTGATAGACTTGGGTTGAAATGGATTGTAACATTCCAAGTGGAGAATCGCTTTGTCGGCAGTTTTTATTTGGGTAAGTTGGCATGTTTGTGGGGCGTTGATGGAATTGTGGAACACGAATCATTGTTTAAATTTTTTTCTCATACACGACAGTCAGCGCTTTTTTGAAAAAAACTTTGGCAAACGTTGCAAAGTGTTTTGGCTTCCTGATACTTTTGGATACTCTGCTCAATTGCCACAAATTATCAAACTCGCCGATTGCAAGTATTTCTTCACTCAGAAATTATCATGGAATAATATCAATAAGGTTAATGAATGTCTAGCATATTCTGATTCAGTTGGTATTGGTAACAAGTGTGGCATGTCTCAATACGATTTTTTATATCGGTTAGTTTCCAAATACTACCTTTTATTGGGTCGGCTTGGATGGCAGCAAAGTAAGTGGTTGATGCAACACAAAATAACGTTAAATGGTAGTATACTTTTATGAATATAATCAACAAAATAATATCCGTAGGTTTTAACGCATATGTGTCCGAGTGAGACGTAAGTATAACAAGGATCTTGATTCTCTCTCTCCTGGAACTGCTCTAACTTAATTGCTCTTACAGGTACGTAGCCCAGTGTACAGTCGAGGAACTGGTTAATAGCGTTCGTAACCATCGAGACTTGGGATACAGTAACGAGAGTTTACTTGTATTTGGAAATGGTGACGGTGGAGGAGGACCAAATGCTGCTATGATCGAGAGATTGCGACGATTAAAAGATATTGTAGGTAGTGCAGACGTGGGCTGGCTATTTTTTTGCTGGAAATTAATATTCGGATTCCACGTTTTCTGTAGGATGGTGTGCCGAGAGTCGAGATGGGATCGGCGGACGAGTTTTATGAACGCGTAGAGAGAGAGTCAAAAAAATTAAACGTTTGGAAAGGAGAATTGGTAAGTAAAATTTTTTGTTGGTCTTTGTATAGCATACAGATACTGATTTGATACCTTGTTACATAATGGGCCATGGTATGTAGTACTTTGAATTACATCGCGGAACATATACTTCCCACGGTCTAATTAAGCGTTATAATCGTAAATGCGAGCTTCTTTTGCGTGATGTTGAGCTGTTGACCACGCTAACTTATTTTATGGAACAAACTCTATACAGGTACCAGCTGTCATAACTGTTGATTGAATTTTTATTCTCTATTTTTAATCTATTATTGTTATTATATAAACAGATATCCAAGGGATCAAATACACGATGCATGGAAAGCATTGCTATTGTATGGATTATTCGCATATTTATAATGCTTAGTTTCTTATATTAATTGGTTAATGATAATAATTACTACATTTTTGTAGAACTCAATTCCACGACGTTCTACCGGGGTCGTCCATTGGAATGGTTTATGATGATGCTTACAAGGTAGGATTTATTTCCCCAGATTGAGATTCTTTTTCTCACAATTCATCTAAAAAAGCCAAATCTGTTTTCATCTAGATGCTTGATGAAGTCCAAAAAACATGTATGCCCTCCTTTTTTAATCATAACATGTTTAGCATCAGTCTATTCAATTTCTGTGTATAAAACAGGCGAACGTCTTCGAAATCAAGCCCTTGATGCTCTATTTAAATTGCCCGCACTGGAAGAAACTCGTGAGAAAGGACTTGCTATATTCAATACGCTTCCGTGGAAGCGAACGGAGGTTGTGAAAGTGCCAGTAAGTGATGGGCTGGACGTATTGCAACAATATTCTGCAGATAAGGCGTCGGGATATGTACTTGGTAAGTGGAACAAGAACTTTGATATGCGAATAGGTTCTGTTAATATTATTAATCTTGCTACACGTATCACAGTGAAAGATACGGTTAGTGTCGGATTACAAAAAGTCGAAATTCAGCGACATGATGATGTCAAGCCCGCGACAGGTTGGTTGTTTGTAACAGATTTAACTAATGCTTTCTTGCTGGAGTTATTTCTAAAAACATACGGTATTTGAATTGTCTAGTAAAATTTGATAAACACCGTGGATTTATTCTCGAGAATGCATTTGTGAAAGCAGTATTTGACAGCCACGGGAGACTTATCAGTTTGGTTGACCTGGAGAAAAGGTTCGTGCATGTCTTGCCGATTATTGCTTCAAACTCGTTGATTTCTCATTAATTTTTTATGTTTTGCTTCAAGTCGTGAGATTATTCCTGATGATGCACAGGGGAACAAATTTATTATCTATGAAGATATTGTGAGTTTTATGGTAATTTTTTATTCGCTTTGGATTCTGAACAATAAACTGACTAAAATTGATTCATATACAACTGGATAGCCATTATATTGGGATGGTAAGTTACATGATATTTATGATTTATTAGATATGTAATACATTAATAATATCCTATTATTTTTTTTCCTAGCTTGGGATGGTAAGTCGATCAAACTTGAATAGTTTCGTTCACTCAAGACAATCATAGACCATAACATATGATGTCATATATAGTGGAAATATATCACCTTGGGACAGGACGTGAAGCAAACCTTGGAACAATTAAGGTATGTTTATGCCCAAATAACCAAGGATTTATCCTTCAACGTGTGAATAACTGAATTTGCCTATACCAACAGATACACGAAGACGGACCTTTACGCGCATCCCTTCTTCTCGAAACTAAACTCACAAAGACCAGTAGTTTGTCTCAAGTCATTGCTCTCACTGCAGTCTCAACTAGGCTTGATTTTGAAACTGAAGTTGATTGGAATGAAAATCGAAAATTCCTGGTCAGTAATTAATAGGCTTATGTGACGTATGAATGAGGGCTTACGCTCAGAACTATTGACAATATATTATTCGAAATACTTTAGAAAGTTGAATTTCCTGTGGATATCATGTGCGACTATGTAAGTCTCGCTCTAAATTTCGTTGTTGTATATTTTACCATTAAATCATGTTCTTATTATATTTTCCTCATTTATCTAGGCCACGTATGAGTCCCAATTTGGCTATATCCAGCGACCGACTCATTACAACACTACATGGGACACTGCAAAGTTTGAAGTCTGCGGACATAAATTTGCTGACTTTTCAGAATATGGTTATGGTGTTGCCCTCTTAAACGACTGTAAATACGGTCAGTAATAATACATGTACTTATATTTAGCAGCTTGTTACAAAGTGTCTAATATTACTTTGATCCCAACAGGTTATGCAGTTCATCAAAATGTAATGAGATTGTCACTGTTAAGATCTCCAAAGGTAAAATATTGGTTCATTAGAATTCATGACATCACGACAGTGTATTAACGTTGCTATGGATAATCCTCTCGTAGGCACCTGACGACCAATGTGATATAGGCCATCATACGTTCAAATATGCACTCCTACCTCATCAAGGGTCTTTCCTTGAATCAAACGTCATACACGAAGCATTTGAATTAAACGTGCCACTAATTGTCAGGTATAACCAATCGCAATTTTACAGATGGCTTTCACAAATGGTAAACATTTTCTTTCTGGCTATGTAGGACTTTATCAAAGAATAGGACAAATATCTTGGAATCACTGTCATATTTCACAGTCGATGCTCCAAACGTCATTCTGGAAACTGTTAAGCAAGCTGAGGATTCTGACGATGTGATATTAAGATTATATGAAGCGTACGGTGGCCATGCCAGAGTTCATCTGAAGAGGTAAAGTAATATTGATTGGTATGTAATTATAATTATAAAGCTTTCCTCAATCTTATTAATATTACTTGCCATTTTCAAGTGCTTTACCTGTGCGTGCTGCTTACATGACAAACATCTTGGAAGATAATCTTGTGAAATATGATTATAATCAGGACGATGGAATCCAATTGAAATTTGGTCCATTCCAAGTGATTACCCTGAAACTGACAATGAGGTGAGAAATCAGGAACTCACTTTGTGCTTATTTACGAAGAAATGTAAGCGCAAATATAATAGCAAATTCTATAATGATGAGGCAAGAGGCTTCAGGGATTTTATGGATAATCTCACTAAAATTATGCATGACTTTCCTTTCCAGCATCAACAAAGAAAACGGCTGGACTTTGTTGTGACTTGAGTAATTTGTCAAAATTTTCGATATGATATCTGTTTCGAGCGATAGTATCCAAGTATACAATATTTGTAATGAATTATTAATCTTACAATGAATGAATTTTTAATAGGATGAAAGATGATCTTTTGTTCAATTGTTGAATCAAACTTAAAATAATATTTTAATGACAAACGTAGCCAATAGTTTTAATTAAAGTAAATAACTTTGACATAACAATAGTATTTATTTACATTTAGCTTTTATTATTATGGGAATATTTTTGCCAGTCGCTTTTCAGGGTGTCTTCCATTTTTGGACAAGATTAGACGGCCAGGAGCCTGATAAGTCACAGCCAATCAGCATTGATATTACTATCTTTCTCGACCAACTTAGCAGATATTATAATGGAAGGCCCTGCAATGTTAAATATATGCTTTATTATTTTACGTGCTACAAATGATACAGAGAAGATTGGCAAGGAATCCCGTTGAAAATCACTACAGAAAATTCAGCTCTACGATTCGTTCGCATCAGCCGTAGCAGTTTCTGCACTCGAACTCGCATCTCTCTCCCTTTTCTTCCTTCTTGCATCCCACCATGTAAAGTATCCAGCAAGAGCACTGAATCCAAAAGCAAAGACGACACAAAAGGAAAAGAACTCGGCTGCCTTGGGTGCAGCACACATATTTTCCGCTTCCTTGGAATAAGAGGAGCACTTTTCACTAGTTGGCGTATGTACAGCTCCGATGGCAGTGTACACAATATATGCCACAAGAAAGATATTCGAAAGAATTCCCTGGGCAAACGCGAATTTGGTTGATCGATCGAAAAACAAGACTGATGCGGATACCACAGTACTAACGCAAGAGAGAACCAGTCCGTATATGACCCAGCTGGGAATGTCTAGCCCCAGTTTTTTCGCTTCTTCGGCTGTTATTGCAAGAGTGATCACCACGACCAGACCGCATATTATTTCAAATAAGCGCACGGATAAAACAAACTTTGGCGAGGGTTTGTACGAAGTGGGTTCCGATTTTTCTTCAACCATTTTTTTTCTAGTCAAGAAACGGAATTTAGCTCGGGTTCTCGTGGAATAAAATTGGGTTCCTTGTATAATATAACAAAACGTATTTTTCCCCGTTTGATAATCTGAGATAAATGATGGGGGGCGTTTTATATAAATGCTTTCCCAGTCACGAAGATTTTCGGGGCCAAAATTCTCAGTCGGATACCCACGCTCAAGACCCCCATTATGAATCGTGCTTTTTGCTATGATATCATGATCAGGCAGTTGTCCCCCTTTTTTCTGTGTACAAATAGCATACGGCCTGAACGAGTATATATGCGTTATATTCGGATATTGACTGGAGTAGCATTCCTTCATCGCATACATGTAGTAAACTCAATTCAATGGTCGGTGTATTCACTGAATTCAATAATAACAATGCCAATTTTTTGGAGGGTTAATGCGTTTCGACATTCTTTGAGCTGCATGAGCGCGTTCAAGTATCGATAACAACCCGGCAGTCGTAAAAGCTGACTGTTACGTACAGCTGCTGTCATTATTCTCTCGCCATCTCTATTACAAAACTTGCGCATTGAAGCAATCCATTTTTGCAAGAATTTATTTACCATGGACGTTTCATTTTTACGTACAATCTATGTTGATGTTTCCTAGATAAAGGAAGGGTAACGGTGCGAGTTGATACTTTGAACTTATTTCATAATTCCTACATTCTGAAAAAATTGCGTGACTAGTTGTCGCTTATCGATTTTACTTACAAAAGTTTACGATTGATATAGGGTTCAGCAATATTTGAACCCTTGAAAAATTATGCGTAACATTCCCTACATGCATTAGAGGTCTTGTGATTAACGCAAGTTGACTATTTGGGTACGCCAAGAAATGAAATGTGTTACAATTTGATATTTGCAAAACAAAATACCTATAATATAGACAAGTCTGACGTTTCTGTACAATTCTTCTGGATAAATAATTTATCATCCTGGGTGGTGACATTTCTGCGCGTGCTTGTACCTACAAAATGCATTCGAGAGGGGTTGGATTAGATTTGTAAATAAATACAGCACATATCGGTTATAACAATAAGATATGGTTATCCCAATAACTCGTGCAAATAAACAAGTATGTATTAATATCGCATATTGCGGTAAGCTTCTTCTTTTTTTTCTCACTTACCAATAGATCTCCGGGACTAGTACCTCTTTATCCCGTGGAGATTGATTTAGTATCCACTTCCCACACTTGTGGCAAAGTGCTTCTCGTAAGCCGGATTTTTTGTTGTTACGCTCAGATATCGGCCCAGCAAACGGTCGTCCGGTATTCGACGATATGCCATGCTGATAGTTTAAATGATACCTGTCGGAAAGGGTAAAGTGTCAATCAGTAGTTACACCGCCTTACATAATACATCTAAACATACATAACATGTCAATAATGGAATGAAATAATAATAATCAAAATAATCCCCTATTCTCGTATTAATATTGTCGTCTATCAGTTAACCTAAACGTAAACATACGCTGTCTGATGCATGATTGTTTCCCATGCTCGCCACCTCGATTGATCAAATTGTAAACACTCACCAGTACGCAGATATCTTCGTCTTGTACCATCGTGGAGGATTACAATGTGGACATAATCCTTCCTTGGACTTCCCCACCCCCCGTACCCATCTTGGTGTATACCTAAATGAATGAATTAAAATATTAGTCGACATACCAAACAATCAACAATAATGCGTAGACGCTCAATCCAAGGGATCAGCACTATGTTTTGTTACTCACATGTCGCTATCAAACCTGGGGGGTTGTTTAGACGCTTCGGGATCCGGAATTACTTCCTGTACATCCTGTTCTTCTTTTTGCTTTTTTATAAGTTCTACCGACCCATCGTCGTCATTATCGCATTTACGTTTTTTCAAAAGCATCGACGATTCAATGTTCATACGTGAAGCGATAGACTCGTTATAAGTTGTACCTTTGGGATTTTGATCAAGTAGTAAGGACGGAATGGAAAGCAAGTTGTTTTCAAATCCATCTTCCTGACACCCACTGCTTTCCTCTTTCCATTCTTTTATCTCTTTATCGTTCTCGTTTGCTTTTTCTTCCATGTCTTGTTTACTCCAAGAAGACATTTCCCTTGGATTTAGGAATAAATCCTTTATATTTTCTTCCGATACATCTATCTCCTCCAACGTTTCCATATAATTAAGCCGTCGTAGGATTTTTAACACTGGCCTTTGTTTTGTCAACTCGACCAGTGCTATTTCTATGTCTCGTAGTTCCGCCGTTAAACGCCTGTTTTCTGAATTTAGGAGGGAATGGCGTGAGAGTTGACGGGAATATGAATGCGATAGCTGCGTCAAGGATGCAGTTAATGCAGAAAGAAGGGTTGATTGCTCGAGTGAGAGCTGTTTACGAATGTGGTCATGCATAGGCAAAGGCACATCTAAAAATTACACAACGTCAATGTATTTGTGAATGAGTTTTAAAGGGACTTGTTAAAAAAAAAAAGACCCGAAAATCGTACACATGTATATGTATGCACACACACACCTTCGTTCAAAATCTTTGCCAAATTCCCATTATTTACAGACAACTCTGGAAGCCTCTGTACAGCAGAATACGAGTCGTACCCCTCGCCCAAGAGTTTGGTATCAGCAGTTTGGGAGGGTAAACTGTTTGGAAACATGGTCGGCTAGTAAGAAAAGACGAGGTCAGTGACAAGAGGTATGTGTTTGGCAAGTGTATGCGATACAAAGGGCGCGTAAGTGGAAAAGAAAGAAATACGGCAAATAAATTGAGGACTGTGTATATATGTGTGTAAGTGAAGAAAAAAATTTCATACTTTCTCGAGTATTTCTGCTGCTTGTATCAGTAGATACAACCCATTCGTATTTGAAGGCTCCATATTTTTTTGTTTTGGATAATCCTAAGATGTTAGTAGTAAAGTTAGTTTTTATATGCAGTTTCAGTTTACATTTATGCATCTTCCTATAATTGTATGCTTCTGAACTTCCATCGCCTACATTCTACGAATTTACCCGAAACCATGCCCACGCATTAATAGCTCATTTCACCATACTCAACTGCATAATTATCAACACTTTTACTTATTTGCGGGCATTCTAATTGTTGTTGTTATATGCAAAATAAATGATTATCAGACAAAACGAGGATGATTATCGCCTAAATTTAGGGATCAGTGGAGGGGGGGGGGGGTGTTCTTACGTACCTTGAGTAAATTTACAGTAAGCACATTGATTGTTAGGTGCAGAGTGTGGTGTCTGGCAAACGGAACATTGATCGATCTGATGCTATTTAGAGAAGAGGATGTGAAATGAAATCGTGAGAGTGAGTAAATAAAGCGATGAATGAGGGATGAAGAACAAGATTTATAACAGTGATAATAAAAAGGGATATATATGAGAAACTATTCAACCCAAAAATGATAAATATTCTCGATTATAGTCGCACAAAGGTAAGTAGATCAAATTACCACGCTGTATGTGTAGAAAAACAACAAACAAAATGGTCGTAGTACAGTATACTAATACTCGATACGCAATATAATATGAAACTCACGATGTATGTCGACTGAGCATCCATTTTTTTCTTTCCTGAGAAGAAGAAATATCGGCAACATAAAGGGAAGAGAGCATTTCAATAAGTTATAAAGACAAGTAGGTGAGAGATAGGGAACGACTAGAGTATGAGGGGATGATTAGGTTATAGTTATTGACTATCTAAATGCAGAATACAATTGAAAAATTTAGCCCAGAAAATCTATGATGTACCACAGCGAATAGAGAATAATATGTATCGCACTACCACCAGAACATGTGTTTATCCTACGTTCCGACAATAGTACAAAGTACCTGTAACTATACTAACAGCCGAGAGAGTCGATATGGTATTATGATCGGGGTTTCAGGGAGAATAGTCCAAGTTTTGTTTTTTTTTTAAGTTGAGAAGATGTCCAGTCAAGACGTGTGAATTGACGATATTAGGGAACGAAGCGTGAAGGCGGTATTTAAGAGCTTATGCTATATTGTATGATTGTATGATATATGCAACTCTTAATTATATGACAATGGCCGGGTGGCTAAATAATAATATCAATGTGACAACTGCGATTAATAATAGTAAGAATAGCAGCCGAATATTCAATGATAGTCAATCTTTACACACCCCCCAATTTAATAATGAAACGATACGGAATTTATTAGAGCACTTACAATAAAAGCTACTCTCAGATTGTATATATTTATGCTTATGTCAAATAATACAAAGTAAGTAAGTTATTACTGCAAGATATATTGCCCATTGAATTGAAATAGAATGCCGATGTAATCATAGTAAACAAAGAGAAGATGGGTATCTACGCAAGACAATAAAGAAGCTTCATTTTAATACATGAGCAAAATGTTACTAATACGAATAATATTTTTGGAACAAATGATTGTTGTTTCTATTCCCATTGCTATCTTTATATTGCTACTGCTGTCACTTTCTCTTATTGCCGTTATAGCCCCAATAATAACCATGCTCTTATTATCTTTGTTACTTGCCAACCAATATATCCAAGAGCCGAGCCACACGTTATTCCATTTATTATCATCGATGTATTTCCAGCATGTGCAGTAATGATAACCTTTTGTGACTCAGTTGGATACAATCGAACAAGGCACAATTGATTAAACGATAACAATCAAAACGATATCGAATGTCTTGTTTGTTTTCATACTCGGACTTGCCATTTTATAACCCCCCCTTCCCTCTCCACCATCTGATAACGTGATCACGTGCTATATATAGTTTAAGAAATGCAGGGGATATAAACCTTGCTATTACGAATATCCCAGACAACAATAACAACGCAAAAGTCGTCATTGATCGTTTGACTGCCAAAGTGAGGAAATTATCAACTGTATTAACTGTTTCTAGAGTTTTTTAAATATCATTGTTATCAGAATACTTAATAAGGCATGTGAATGCTCTGCATACACCGTCAAAGCACAAGACAAGACCTCTTGATAATACTGATAACCGTGCAATTGTATCGATATAGCCCAAAGTAATAACAATAATGTCCGTGAGAGAATAGTGATATCAAAAAGGGAAATCATGGTATTATATTGTCACCCAAATTTTTACCATATTTTCGCATTTATCCGTTATCTGACGCAATTTGTGCCAACCCTCGAGTTTAATTTATTATATTCATTTTTAAAGTTGCAAACTAAATAATTTTGTATTTGCTCCTTTTTTCATTAAATCTTAACGAATTGTCAACAGATAAAGTTATCAGAGTTAATATGTTTTTATACGTTGTAGGATAACACTCATGAGAACAACTTTACATACCCAGAGCAAGAACACCTTTCCCAAATTATACATATAAGAACTAATCTGACTGCGTCTATTGAATAACTAATAAATTACTTTTCTTATTTTCACTGAACTTCAGACAATTTTCAGTATTATTAACAAGCTCCTGCTAACTTTTATAACACCGGTGGGCTAAATTAACGTATATGTTACATCTACGGCAGAAGAGCATTCCTATTCTTACATACAAGCTTATATTTATTAGAGCTGCCATCCTAACTAGATGAGTTACAGATTGTTTTGCAAGTTTTTAATTAATAAAAAGCGATATACTTAAATTTATATTAATGTTAAACATTCAGCTTGTATACCCTGCTAACCCCGTGGCTTTGTTCTAATTCGGCCTACTGAGCATCCAGAACGTGTTAGGTCCTAAAAGTCGCTTATTGCATATTATTGGTTAATAGTTCAAATAACAATTAGTAGTAGTAGTAGTAGATAGTTTCGATATACTAGCATCTATCTAATTCGTATTTAAGGTAAAAGCAAGAAATACAAAACTTGCAGCTTTTTGCATCAGTTGTGTTTAAAGTGACGATTTAAAATAAAATTTTAATCTGAAAGCAGTGTTGCCTTTGTATGCCTTCTAAACGCCTATAACTTACCGTTGCTGTGTCAGTTTTATTCTCAAGGACAATAACGTCTCGTGGGCATTTTCTTGTTGGTAATCGTGATGATGGAGTAAGCACAATAGACAATCATATAACGCCTACCGTAATAGGATAAAGATGTAAAACGTGTCATCATGCTCAATAATCTCACGCGGGCTTTACATATAATGCAGAACAAATAATGTAGCATTTAATCGTTTTGGCATATAATCAACTATGAAACGCTCATTATTGCTCAACGGTCATTCTTATAATAACTTTTGATTTCAAATTGACAGTCCAATATTATCAGGCACATGCAATATCTTTGAAGTTGACAATATCCTTGCTTCTCATTCATAACCTGAAGGTTTCTGGCGTAGAATTAAAACAAATCCATTGAGAAAGTCTTCACATATGCACATTGGAGATATTTGTGCAGAGTACTCATTTATTTGACCATATATAAATGACTGATTTATATACTATCAATATCAACATTAGGATGAATCATATAAAATACTGCAGTCTGAGAAATCTCTGATGCTGCTGTCACTGCGGGTTGCTGTGACCCTGAGCCTTCTCCGGCGGCTTCCCCGGCTGGTCCTTCCCCGGCTGGCCCTTCTCCAGCTGGCCCTTCTCCGGCTGGTCCTTCTCCGACTGATCCTTCTCCGGCGGGCCCCTCTCCAACTGGGTCTACATCCATTTGTTGCGGTTCTTCACTACTCTCTTGAAGTTTGATTAGATAGTTATCCTGTATTACAAATTTTTTTCGATTAGAGAGTTTTCGGATTTGAACAATAGATCTTATACAATATATATTAAATGGGTTACCTTAACTAGCTTCTTTAATACTTTTTTGAAAAGCTTACGGGTATTATGATAATCCTCTTGTGTTTGTATTTCGTTTTCCTGCTGCTCCATGTACCAAAGAGTCAATTCGTCTTCACGTATGGGGTCTAATATATCATTACGCATAGTCAGACGCGACGGTTACAAAGTGAACAAATCTCATGCAATCTACAGACCATTATCGTTAGCCTTTAAATGTGCCAAAATCATATTTCTGATACGGAAATACTCTTCAGCGGTAATACGGTTCTTGGCTGCTTCTGTGGTTACGTTATCTGCTGCTTGCATATCTTGTGTCGCTGTATTTCCACCGTCAACACGATCCTCTTCAATGGAAACGATTTCTTGAGTACCACTACCGCTTTGAAGCGCTTCATCTGTTTGCATTACGCTATCTTCTTGCTCGCGATCAATATCGTCGTCTTCATCCAACGGCACATCCTCTTGTTCAACACGGATTATGGATTTGCGTAGCAGTTGGCATGCTTCATCCACAAATGCTGCAGTTACCTTCAGATGATAAATAGTTAGGATATTGCGCACACAGTAATCACGGCATAAACATGTAACAGAAGCATCGACTTTATCTTACCCGAGTTTGAGAGTGAGCTTTAGCGATTGCTTCTGATAATCGTATCATGCTCTCCAATTGTCTGACGGTTATTCGCGTTGAATTCCGAGTGAAACCAGACGCCTCATCTTGTCTCATGTCGCGATACCTACGCACAAGCAATTTGGCGGCTTCCGGAGTAAGCTAAATTATAAAGTATAATATGAGCCCTCTGGATTCGTATGGTTGTTGGTATACACGTTAAACTAACCTGCGGCCGGTACATTTTCGCGAATTGAATGTATCGCTGTAGCTGCTCTGTTGAGTAGGGAGCATTGCTCTCAATCATATCATCGAGGCGACGATGCATGTCGAGAATATATTTTGCGATGCTTACATCAACAACCTCGTTGCAATCGTCAAGTACGACAAAGAACAAATCGAAACGGGACATAATGGGTCCCGACATTCCAATATTTTGCTGGAAAAGTTGATAATAATTGTCATTTATCGAATAATTTACTCAAAACCAAAGTTTCTGCGTTTACTTACTCTTAATGTCAACTTTCTATTATATCTTCCACCGATAGGGTTTGCTGCAGCTAGAATTGACGTTCTTGCATTTAGGGAAGCATGGATACTTGCTTTTGCAAGTGTGATTGTCTGTTGTTCCATTGCTTCGTGTATTGCTACTTGATCTTTGAGATCCATTTTATCGAATTCGTCAATACAGCAAATTCCCTAATGTGTACAAAGGGTGTTATACATTATGGAACGCGGCAAAAGCATAATATAAGATATTTATCCAAATGTTTAATACATTGTCGGCCAGCAGCAATGCACCGGCTTCAATGGTAAAATCACCAATTTCCTCGTCCTTCACAACAGCAGCTGTTAATCCTGCTGCAGTGGAAGCCTTGCCTGACGTATATATGGCACGTGGTTGTATGGCACAGACATATCTATTCAAAAGATACAATGAATCTTTTTGAATAACAATCAAACGATGACGCTTTTTGAAATGTAGATATTTACTTGAGAAATTGACTTTTGCTTGTACTTGGATCACCAACAATACACACATTGATGTCTCCTCGAAGGCTTATTCCTTCTATAGTTGTCTTATGAACTCCGCCTAGTAATTGAAGTAATATCCCCTTTTTTATAATCTCATGACCTGAAATGTAATAAAGTAGCATTAAAAAGATAGCAAGAATGTTGCAATGATGAACTCGATCAAACATTCGTCCTTACCAAAAACATTAGGTGCAATACTTTGCAGAAGCCTTTCATATACTTTGTCAGATGATATCATCTCTTGCAATTCATTCCTATCGTCCACAGACAGAGACTCGAGGAATTTCTCCTGTGTTTCCTCTTTAGCGTGCGAACCAAATGCTTTCACCTATCGATGTTGACCGTTCGTATTTGTACGATTAGCCATGTCTTTAACATAGTTCATCAAGTAATGACTAAATAATATTGGTGTGATATTAACCTTTGTGCTGGCTGATTCTACTGAACGTGCCAGGAAACATAGCCTATATGTCATCTCTCGTGCTCCAAGGGCCTTGAGACCGGTAACACCTGCATTCGCGAAACCTTCGCTCGCCCTCGCGCGATTATCCCGGCGTAATTCCATCGTACCGCCTGTTAAGTGTAAAGTATTGTGTCAAGTCGATGGGGTCGATAGTTTGCGGCATGTAAACAATTATGATTTTCTATACCTGGTGCACCTAGTTGAGCGATATCAGGCACGACAATTAATGTGCCCGTAAATATGGATTTATCTCCTGGCTTGGTACTTTCGACTATTTCATCGCGAAGTATTACATCAAGACTAAGAATTCACAAACGATCAGAGTAGATTAAATTTACGTATAGATAAGCAACATGCCAGTCTAATAGGAATAAGATGCCAATTTTCTACTTACGTCCTCGGCATACTACCGGTAGGTATTTCATCGGGACTTTCTTGAACCCGAACACGCTGCCAATCGACAAATTTGGACTTTTCGAATATGAGTGTGAAAGAGGATCTATTCGCACACGTTGGATTTGGACAAACAGGAGGCTTAAAGACAGTGATTAAAATTATGATGTTTATCAATGTCAGATACGAGTCTATTTTCAAAGTAATTATCTTCTATGCAAATTAAAGAATGTTATTTACCTCAGTGTATCGAAATTGTTGCTCTATATTAGTAATAACAGCCTTGCACTCTTGACACTGGAAAGTTCCCATTATTAATTCAGGACGAACTTCACTGGTGCGAGTCACCGTTCCCTTTATACTGATCAACTGCCCGATTTTATCAGCTCGCAAACCTCGGATACGAAGCTGTGATGAAAAATTGTAAAAAGCCAACGAAAATTCACGCTTTATGAGAAAAGCCTGGTTGACATTTAAACCAAGTGGGGCCGCATTCTCGTATTGGTAATGAGGAACAAACTTTTCGGCCACTTGTTGAACTGCCTCACGAAAGTGAGATTCGAATCTTGACGCGCAATAGAAAATTAGAAATATTAGGACAATTGATCGGTTATAGAATCAAACGTAGAATATAGCGTGATTGAATACTTGTAGTAATGCTTGTTGAGGACATCAAAAAGACTATCGTTAGCCTCTTTTATATGTTCGTAGTCTATGTAAAGCGTATGAGTTCCTTTTTCCGCCATTTCCTTGATTTTTTCAATGTATATGTGTGTTCCATCCTCCAAGTCTGTGCTCGAGCCATTGATGGTAAAACTTTGCGAGAGCGGGAAACGCGTTTTAGTGCATGAATGCATAATAATATTACGAAACATCTTCATTCTCGCCTCAATACACGTTAAAGGCACGTTAGAACGCAACAATGCGGTTAACACTTACTTTAGAAGAAAGTCTTCAAACCAATTCTTCACAGTTTCCGAAAATCTGTCCACAACTTTTGGTATATCCCCTGTTTGCGTTGGCTTCGTCCTCCTCATCCTCTGAAACGCACCAACCTCCTCCGCTTCCAAGCTCGCTGTTGATTCAGGCATATTGATACAGTATAGGTGTTCTGACAACGCGTAGGTTCGAATGATTTCGATCGTGTCATATTGTGCCACACACAAAATTTCAGGGGTCCCACCTGGTTACTACTACTCGGGCCACAGTAATACAGTCTAACGAATTCTATAACCAAGGTCTCTTTATAGCAAAGATTATAATAATCATTTAATCATTAGTTTGGAGACAGTCTTCATTATAATTCGTTATAGCCAAGTTATAATGTTCTAAGATGTGACTGAAGCGAGTATCTACTTTACGCCGGAAGAATGTTCAGAAGGAGAGTTGTAGAACTGGTGTATTTATATCTAATGACTGTATCGGGAATGGATTTTTCACAAGATGCACGTGAGAAACAGAATCAAGACATTATTCAATCCAAAAATTCTAAACTCTTATTCTCTAGTACTAGCCCTCACTAGCTAACAAATTTGGAAATTGGAAATGTTTGGGATGACCTCCCAAAGTTCATCCCTGACTATTTGGTAGTTGAAGATTTTGTATTACCAAATATGGGAAGGACGATGACCTAAATTATCTCCCCCCAAATTTGACAAATACCTACTACTAAATATGGTAGGGAAGAAAAGAAGTTAAGCGTTACACTCGGATCAACGTTGAGATCTCCGTGATTATGATTGTTCTTGAAACTTCTTATTCAAACGATGTCACTATTTTATAATCCAATAATTGACAACTTGATTCAATCCTCAAAAAGTGAACATAAACTTGAATGGATTTCTCATGAGAGAATTACCGACATAGAGTCAAACCAAATTGACAACGTCTACTATGCTATTCGTAATAATGATTGTAGAACTATGATATTGCTTGGAAGCGATAAAACCTGTACGCCAACACTTATGCGTGAGTTTGCCAGAATATACTCACTTCCGACACACAAGTACAATAGTAATAGCGACAACTTTAGAAGATATTCCGTATGGCTTAAGAAACGCAACAAACTCACAGAGGGATTTACCAAGTGTGATAACAACTATTACATTGTTGCTAATAGAAAGTTTTACCGTTGGTACTCTCGATATGGATTCTGTTCTGCATGTGGAATACTTCGATGTAGTCCCGTGTGGTGCATTTGCGGCCATAAAGAATTATCCGATGGATGGACTAGCAACAATAAGCAACTCGATGAGTTTATTAAGAAATCTCAATTACAAACAAACTCACCAAATGATGCCTACTTGGAATGGATTCCATTTGATTGTATTGATAAGTGGAGAGATGAAGTACGCTTATATGGACTACCTACTCGTGAACGAGTTACATTGACTCCGCTTGAAATAACAGACGAGACACATGATTTATATTATGCCGAGGTAACTAATTACTAATGCGTCATGTTTATTGAATAGTTTAAATAATTATCGACATATTATTATGTATCATTTCCACTAGTTATAGTTATGTGATGAGCATCCAGATATGCTTACCATGGATGTTTGGGTTACCATCGGATTCACATATTATGAACGGAAGTATTGTCTCATAAAAGAATATTACGGGCATGGATTATGTCTGGCATGTACATGTCAATTAGAACTTAAGATAAATCCATTCTGTTTCAAATGTAAATCCCCAAGACCTCTTGATTGGACTACAGGCAACAAATCTTTGGATTCATTCATTGTGGAATCATGGAGTAATACAAGGAATATATTAATATATGATGTATATATACAATGGATAGAATACTCTCTATTGACAAACATACAATATATGACATCATGGAGTAATACAAGGAATATATATGATGTATATATACAATGGATAGAATACTCTCTATTGACAAACATACAATATATGACATCATTACGTCATGAATGCACACATGTAGCAGATTGGAGAACAAATGAATTGACATGTGTGACACTCAAAAAGATAGTTGACAAACAAAATGATCAATTGTTTGATTTTCATCAGTTAAATTATTTCACATGTAAAATGAATATAGTATTATTAATGTGTGTATTGTGTGGTTTAACAACTGTATTTGTTTATCTCAAATAGATAACTAAGGAATATCCAGAGATATTAACCCTTGATAATGCTTGGATAATTGGGGTCACTCAGGAGCCATCTACTCAGGAATATTATTTAGTTTTCTACTATGACATACACGCAATATTGGATAGATTTATACGAAATAATGAACATGTAATGTACATGCAATATAGCAACTTTGATGAACTCAAAGAGATCAGATCTGGTGGTTACGGAACAGTTTATACTGCCAAATATAAAAAATATTCAGAAGTCAAGGAAATGCGACAAACTGTTGTATTCAAACGGTTTAAGAGTTTTGATGAAAAGCCGGAATTATTTATTTCTGAGATAAGCAACAATTGGTGTATTAATTAAACTGATATTTAATTTGATGCTGTAATTATTTTTATTAATAGTTCAGAAATCATACCAAGTGCGTAAATAACAATATTTTATTCCTTAAAATTTATGGGGTGACACAAGACCCAGAAACAAAAGAGTACATGGTTGTTATGCAATATGCTAACAATGGTAGTCTTTTGTCTTATTTGGATCAAAATATTAACAATTTGACATGGTACATGAAATTACAGTACTTGAGGAGTATTGTAAGTTATCTGTATAATATTCATGCTTCGGGTTTAGTGCATTGTGATCTACATGGCGGAAACATAGTTTTGCATGATGATGATAATGACATTACGCATGGGATAGATGCAATCTTGGTCTTTCTCAATCGGTGAATTCACATCAACAAAATTCAACCATTCGAGGCGTTTTACCTTTTATTGCACCG